AATTAATTAAAAAAAAAAAAAAAAAAAAAGAAGGACGAGGAAGTGGGTGTTGGTTGCCGACAGCGGGTGGTCGGGGCATTCAAGAGGAGAAAGTGGGCCCCACCAAGAACACTCCTAGACTGATCGAAAATAAATAATAAAATAATTGAAGGAAAAAAAACACGTTTTATTATTAAATATAATATAATATAATATCCTCTTCTCTCTCTCACTCGTAATTTATAAATCATTATTTATATTTCTCTGTTCAAAAAAATAAAAAAAAATAAAAGAAAAAATCCTATTGGGTATTGAATTGTCATTTTCCCATCCTACCCCTGCCCGCTGCCCTAACATTAAATTTAAATTAAATATTGAAAAGTGATAGATGTAATGGTAGCACGTGTTTGGCGAGTTGGGTGGGCGGGCTTATTCATAGTCCAACCCTCATAAAAGCAACTTTTTATTATTATTATTATTATTATTTTTTAATAATATTTAATTGTTTGCTTTTTAAATTTAATTAAGTATTCCTTCCATGCCTAATGTTATTCTCGTGCGCTTCTCTCTCCTCTCCAAACTTATCCTAATTAGTTCACTCTTAACTTTTAATCCATATTAGATAATATTTAACTAATATGGTTAAGGATATCTTCGTATTTTATTATAAGGCAAATATCTATGATAGGTATATTTTCATTTATTATTATTTCTATTTATTATTTTTTTCATATCCTTGTAATTTATTTGATTATAAATAAGATAACTTTCACACCATTTAGGTGTGGTGGATTATGCAAACATTCACAAATATAATACACTAATCATTCGCCTTTTCTTTTCTAATCTTACTAAATATTTATACATCAAGAATTTAATTTAGAGCGTTCGTATGATCTAAAAAACTCGATTAATCAAACTCAAATCATACATAATGTGTTAAGTTATATATATATTTTATTGCTTGAGTTGGATTAAATTTTTTGGGAAAGAAAAATTAGGATGATGTCGTTGGATGATAAAAGTCTCACATTGGCTAATTTAAGGAATGATCATAGTTTATAATCAAATAATATTATTTCCATTAGTATGAGGCCTTCGGGGGAGTCCAAAGCAAAACCATAAGAGTTTGTGCTCAAAGTGGACAATATCATATCATTGTGCAAATGAAGATATTTTATGTTTGTAATCGATGTTAGCAATAAGTTATGACTTGTAAATGTTTGATAGACATTTTAGTTATTAATGTAACATAAATAGACCTTCTTAAATAATAATAGTAAAAAAGATTCAATCCTCTATGTTAGAGGAACACAAATCGGCTTCCTTAAATTAGCCGATGTGGGACTTTTATCACGAGTCAGGTTGTGAACTATATTTGAATTGGTATTGGTACATTTCTTTGGATTGATACATTTACTAAGGTAAATAAGTATACCGAATAGGTTGAGTTGAGTTGTGAACTCTATTTGAATTGATACATTTACCGAGCAGGTAAATAATTTATAGCGGGTAGGATGAGTTGGGTTGTACCTAAAAAGTAGTGGGGTGAGTGAAAATTGAGATAAGAGATTGTGAATATATTATTTGCCTCCAACCTCAGTTAAGCTAAATGGACAACTCTACTTTCCACACAATAAGATAAACGAGGCATTATACGCTATTTAAGGATTGAATTAAAGATGTGGACGCCACAATTACTCCTCATGGAACATTCGTACAATAATTAAATAGTACATAATTTATTCTTAATTGTAAGTTTAACAGGTAAAAGTTATCTCTTAGTCCGAGTGAGGAGTTCTCTCCTGCCTGTTCATGAAGTTTTGAAAAATCCAAACTTCTCAGAGATAGGAGTTCATCGAACGAATCACAGGGAGATACAAAATAGAAAGTTAGGTATGATGAGATTCACAATAGAACTAGGAAATAATCTATA